GATGTTACTTTGATTGAACACCAAATTCTTACAACTAATTTAAATGGAAATATGTAGCAGCTAGAGGGGAGAATTAACAATCAGATCTTGGGAGTTAAAAGGTTAATACTTTTTTAATCACTTTGAACTGAATAACCAATGGACACTTTCCATCTACATATCCAGTCACAGTGTACAAACACACACATAAAATAGTAGTATATAGTCAGTCAGAGAGAGCTCCCAACCTAAACCATAGGACCTCTGGTTTCATCATGGATTTTGCCTTTTGAGGACATTACTTAACCTAACTATGATCCTAATGAGCATTTAACTCATCCTATATCTAGGAGAGAAAGATAAGGTGGGTCATTCATTGTTTACATACCACATAAAACATAATGGATAAATTACTAGATTCACACTGAACTTGGAAAGTAAACTAAAACAATATTTCCCAACTACACAATATGAAGGTTAGTTGATATGAAGCCTGTGTAGTAGGTGCTTGCCAAAAGTCAGAGTAACACTCCCATAACAGAAGAGACAAAGCAGTAATACACAAGACCTATTCCTTGCCTGCATCTATTGTCTCCTATTACCAACAGGAACAGTGTAATACCCAAGGAATCCCTGTAACCCAGCATCTACACAGTGTAATCAATTTGTTAACTTGTTAACTGTACCTTAAGCATCTTGAAATAGCGTTTAAACTGCCTGTATATGTCGTCATCATACCTGCAACAAGACCCCAGTTGGTTGGTAAAATCAAAAGGGGAAAAGACAGCTTTGTAGATATAGTAGTACATGTATGGAGCATGCTCTGTCAAATATGTTTAATACTTCCTTGCTTATTTAAAGCCATATTTACTGCTTAACTGTATTTGATCCTGATCCTCTCTCAAAAACCAGTAGCTGAGAGAAATTGCATTTTGGTACAAAGTAGGGTACATTGAACTGCTGCTTACAAGCCCTGCAACTTTGTGAAGGGTTTTAGGTTGGCTTAGAAACTGAGAGACTTAAATGTTAAGGGGCTTAACACTGAAATTGAGAAAGTACTGATAGAAAAAAGGTTTTGCTTTTGCAGGTGTTTAATCAAGCATCAAAAAATTATTATAAATAAAATTCATTGCCATACATTTCGAACAGAAATAAATTAAGTAACAACACAAACAGAAACTGGAACGTAAGAAAACAGAAGTTCAGAATTTTCCCTTGATATTCATCTGTGATAATTAAAAAAAGTAATAAATTGGTTGTTCTGCAATAATTTTTCAAATTTTCTGTTTCTGGGGGGCTTATGGGCAGCAGTTTATGGTAAATATATGTGACATTCTATCAGCTCTTGAGTCTTGTTTAATGTGAGCTTGAATAAAAGAAAAAAGTTTTCATGGATAATAATTTTTTCTCCATATTCAAGTTCATATTCAAAACAATGCGTAACATGCTTGGTTTTGAAAATGGTTTATAACAGAACTGATTCTCGCAAGTGTCCTGCAATCAAAGAAATTGCCGAAAAGAAGCTTGCAAAAATTCAGGCTTTGATCAGGTATTGGAACCTGTGCCTTCCAGATAATAGTTAGGTGCTACTACCAACTGAGTAACAAAGACAAAATTAGGAGAGAGGCAAGTTAAGTACTAGGTACGTTGCTTCTACAAAAGAAACTTATCTCTGTGATATGAAATAAATCATATTAACCTGCATATGAAATACAACTGATCATCCTTTCTGAAATGTCTACATTTTTTCAGCCGTAATCAACTTACTTTGTTAAACGAAGTCTTGAGGCATCTACTTGGGAAATGAGCTGAAACAACACACAAAAATTACTAGAAAGTTACTATCAGAACTAGAGAAAATTGCGCTCATCATAGCACTTTCTATTTTACGCCCATTTAATTTTAACTCCAGAATAAATCTTACAGACAAGGGGAAATAGTTTCTGACAAAATTACTTCATGACTGACCATGAGTGAATGCCTGTCCCTATCCAAAAATAACAATGAAACCAGAAAAATTCACAGAATGAAAGTAAATTTTCTGTTTTTATGATAATAGAAGCATGAAATTTGCTCACTATAATCTTAATTCTACAGTAATTCTACAGTAATTCTACAGTAAATGGTTTGGGGTTTGGGAGTAACATTTGATTCTGAAATCTGATCACCCATTTGAGGGTGCATTAAGTCCTGAGAGGGACTTTTATTAAACTCATTCATCATTTTCTATTGTTTTTAGGGTTGATTTTATAGTGTTAGAAATCTCCTTTATCCCACATGACCAGGCTACTGATACCAAAATATGAAAGCATTCTTTGACAGAAAATAAATAAATAAACCCAATATTTGAATTTAATTTGATAAAAAAATCACCATGTTAACTTTAACTATCCTTTGAAAAGGTACAATACATGACTAAGTGGCTGTTTAACTAAAAACCGACACTTAAACAAACTTCCTAAACTGTAAAACCACTCACCTTGAAGTATGTTTCAGCATGGTGATGAGCCTTAATGGCCCAGAGCATCTCTGTTTGAGCCTGCAAGAGAACTTTAAAATAAGACTTCCCATAAAATATTATGATGGTTGTCTTAACAGTCCACTTAACAGTTGCATACTTTGTTGTCAAGCCTTTAAACAGGAGTGAGGCTGAAGGTGACCTTGTTATGTTACAAATGTTGCTGCTTTTCAAATGTAAATTGCTTTGTTATCATGCTCACTAAATACTGGTCTCTATCACAACAAGGTCACCTTCAGCTTCGCTCTAAATCAAAGGCTTAGCAACCAAGTACACAACTGTAAAATGGCCTACTGAAAAAAAGAGAAAAATGGTCACCCTGGATCACCAGCTAAAGAAGCCATTTATTGTTTAGGAAATTCTCCTTGTTAGCATCTTACAAATATATTTAAGCTTACAAAAAAAAACGCCAAATTATAAGGTGAAAAATTCCATTTCCTGGGGTTTGTTGAACACAATATGATCCATCCAGTGATTGCTTAATGAACTAAATAACTACAGGTTTAGAGTGAGAATGATTAAGGATTTTATGAGTATAGAACTATTAAGAGGTCACAACATTCTCATCCATTAAATGGATATTGATTATCAGAGGTAATGAAAACTGTATGCAGGTCATCCAAATATCATGTTTATCAGTGCCAAGTAGATAAATACTCTGACAAAGTGTTGAGGTATATGATTGACATACAAGACACAATTAAACCTTTACCTCTCATGAGCAACTAAGACAGAATATCTCCTTACAATATCAATACAATATTACGCAGACAAGAAATGAGAATAAAGAAAACTATCAATCAATAAGGGGATTATTAATTGATCCAATAACAAATTCTCCAAATTAACATTGTAACAAATAGGCCTTGGAAGTGAGAAGGTTAAATCGTGATTATTTCTTGATAATTAAGTTCATTAATTCAATTTTCAGTTAATCACTGGATGATTAAAATCATTCAATAACTGGGTTTGATCTTCATAATTATGTGTATGAATCGCTGCCTGAGAGCTCTGGGGTAAAATTTCCGCACAGCCCCATACTATTGTAAAACAAATCTGTTTTCCCAATGGCAATCTATTGTTTTTGTCATTGTTTTCTCAATCCAAGAACTGAATGCATAATGTAGTATGGGGCTGTGCGGAAATTTTACCAGCTCTGGGAAGCTATCTTACATCTTATATGGATAGAGCATGGTAATAAATACACATGAACAAGTGGAATATTCCTTGAAGAAAATGCATTTCAAGCGTGTTACCCACTCAAAGACCAGAAAAATTACAATTTGCAATTCGAACTTTTCTCGTATCCTGTGTATTGTGCTACGGCTATTCTTTATTGTATTCGACATTTGACGTTTTTGGGGTAATTCTATTATAAAAAGAAAGACAGTCCGAATGTATGGAAAGCATGCTTTTGCAGTTGACATTGGCACGTGCAAGTATTAAGTTGTACTTACGTCGTTCGTGTATTTGTCGGCGTCCATATCAAAACCTGCTCCACCAGTCGAAGCTTAAATACTTCTCAATACAAGTAGCACCAAAATTCGGTTCTAGAAAGAGGTCAATTCCAACTATTAATAATTTCCTTTCCTTATCTTCCAGTTAATCTTCGAAGATGTCTGCTCAAGTTAGTACGTCATGTAAAGGCAAAGTATTTTTAACTTACTCCTTCCCAGGCCTTCTCTTCTAGTTCTTATCATTTGTATGGCGAGTTGGAAATAAACTATAGTGATAAATAAGTTCAGTTCTGCCAATCATTGCTCAGAAAAAAATGAAGTAATGATGACAAAAAGAGAATAGATTGCGTATTTCCTTAATTCGGATGGGTCAGTTTTGTGTAGATGACCTCAGACAGGCTCAGACACATACTGTCATTAGGCACATCGAGAAGGCTCTCGACTTCTCAGCTCAAGTTGCCCCTAAAACCCCAGCGGGTACTCCCTAGTTATTGTCCACTAGGAATGTCCCGCTGGATGGGGTCGCATTCTTAAGACTTGGTGTACTATAGTGGAGTCGCATTTTAGAAAGAGGTGGCAAATTTTCGGGGTTTTGAGGTTAATTAAAAAAATTCTGGTAAGTGGGGTTTTAAAATGGAAAGATTCACCGTTATGGAGTTGTTACCAAATTACCAAAATTGACTAAGATGGGGTCTATAATTGGCCAAAAGAATAGATTATACTTATAATTGGGGGGAGGGGTGGTGAGAGACCAGCGGCAGATATCCAGCAAAGATTAATCCAGTACGTACCCCACCCCTCCACCCAGACATAAGGCCGTGGAAAAAGTCTTCTCCCGGACTACTCTCACCCATACGATCACTGACAGACGATCATTTATTAAAATAATCGCTCGAGCAACGATATGTTTTCGCATATGAACATTTTACAGCGCGTAAAATCCTTAAACATTGTGTGGTATCAGCAACTATTATTTTCTTTTCTAATTAACTCAGAGGAGCTCGACATCCAAAAAAGAATTGAAATTTAATAGGCAAGTTCCCACTGTCAGCTTCGTCGAAAAAGTCATTAAAAATAGATTACGCAGTGTTTACAATACCACAAAGAAAGCGTCTGGAAAAGCGGGACAATTAACATACTCGGTGTACCGCGTCGCTGGTCTGAAGGTTGAACTTATTAACTGTCGACTGTTCCTCAATTGCCCTCAAACCATGATATGACAACTTGTATCATGATAATGTGAAACCGCTGATTTTGTTTGATGTCTGCCAGTTAAAAAACACATAGATAAGGAAAGGAGAACTTAGATTCCGCTGCAATTTGGAGGTAAATTTTTAGTTTGCTGATTCATCATAATGTTTGCACACTTATTTAAACGCTTTAATTTGGAGGTAAATTTTTAGTTTCCTGGTTTATGATGTTTGTACACTTGTACGTATTCTGAGAACCACTGAAAGTGCCTATCGCATTCATAGCGAAACGTAGCCATATTTCAAAGCTTTTGAACAGCACAATCCCCCACGGTTAACCAAATGCAGTGAAGAAAAATTTCAAGATTTCATAACAAACGCTACTTCCTTATGATAAATCACTATTATTCATGTTTTAAAGAGTAAGAGTGAAGTTCGAGATTTTTGATGAAGCGCTTCGTATTTGCAGAGCTGTATTTTCGTTTTTGTTCTGTCATCAATTAATTCTGTATCGTTGCATGCTGTGTACGTCAGTTTAGCTGAAGCCAGACATGGAGTTACGGGAACAGCTTTTAAAACAAGTTTCGTTGAAGCCATTCCTTGAATTAAGGCTACGTAGTTTTTGTTAACAGAAGCTGTAGTAATATGAATGTATATAACCAGGAGCTTAATAAGAACGACTGAAGCGCGGATTTCCGATTTATTATCTAAAATTTATGATCAGTGCCGTTGTACCTCACTTTATTAGGCAATCATCTGGCTGCTTTCGGTTACAGCTCTTCTCGCTCTTAATGTTTCCGCAGATAGTCTTGCTTCCGTTTATTTAATTTCATTTTACTCCTTTTTTTGGACAACGTTCCCCCTTTTTTTTTTTTTAATCCCCACAAATTTCTCGATAAAACTGCCGAAGAAATGTCCTTCTGATAGGATTTTGTTAGAGGCTTTCATGTTAAAGGAGCAAATGTTTTTCTAAAGCTGCCACTCAATCCCAGTCCCCTTACGCTAACAGAAAGATCAATAAATATCATGAAGTAATTCCTTACAGCTGCTGATGTTGACTTACGTGCGCGCATCAGGGAAACGTGATTTCATCCACACCAGATATATGGTAAGTTTAATGTCTCTGTCACCGATTTTCCTAAATACTTAGCTGTGTTCCTGACTTTAAAATTGTCAGTTGAAGTTTGTCTGCGTAATGCTTAGGCCTGGAGGGCTGTATTTTGAATTTCTACGATTACTTTCGGTTTCGATGATATGGCCGCTCGAACATTAGCTATTTTCCACGGCGCCAGCGACTAATAAGGACAAATTTAGTAAGATTATTGGAGAGTTGTGAGCTGAAACTTGCTTTTTGTGAACAAACAATCTACCAGACGGTAAAAGTGCCAGACGAATAATTATAATGTATGTGTTTACGGCATAAAGTGATTTGCATATTTTTTTAGTGCATATTTTATGTTTCTACGTGTTATTGTGAAGCGAGCGATTTTCAGTTTCCAAAATTTGAAAAGTAATACTTTCATTGAACTTTGATTGTCTGATTATGTACAAAGTTCAGCTGGTTGAAGGAAATTCTGCGGTCCAACTTGCGACATTACATCATCTACCTTATCTCATTTGAATATTTTAGTTTTCGTGACGATTCCAGATTTCCTCTAAGGTGCTAAAGCTCTGTTTCTGGGCAGTTTCTTACAATCATATCTTTCTTTTATCATTGGTTTTCGACATGCCTATAAGTAGTTTTCAAGGCCAAAAGACAGACGACTTACAGTTGCCAAAACGAACAGATTTTCAACTCCACCTTCCGAACCGTCTATTGGTGTTTTTCTTACAATGGCTGAACACACCCCCAACAATCCCACAATTTAATTGTTTGGCTCAGCATGTGTCCCCTCTGGGTTAATCTTAATCTTTTGAAGACGACACAACTTTTTCGTCAACCCTCATCTTGGGGCGATCTGCAGAATTTAAAATTACCTGTATCAGTACTTTTATTGTTTCCGATAAAGAAACGGTCAACTGCAAGTTAGTCTGATTCGGCCATATTGTTTTCAAATTATTTTGCGTGTACGCTCGAATAAGTTTATTGGGTATTTTTTCCATAAATAGTGCTTTGATGAACCAGGATCAACCAAAGTATATCATTTATATTATAATCAGTGCAATTCACGCTTTGAAAACAGGATATTAAGCAATATTTTCCAAGTTCTGTTAGGCAACATTCAACATTGTACATGTTCCTATGATTTTCACGCTTTCACCTACACAAACAAAAATCTGCGCCTCAGTTGATATCTTGAAGGAAAATCGAACAATTCTATCTCTTTAACTCAGTTCTAAAGAGCAGCAAAAAATATATCAATTCCCAGCTTTTAATATTAAATCTGTTTTAGTAGTTATAATTATTTTGTCAAAAATATATATCAGAATTCGTCTTAAAAAGTTATTATTAACATGCATAAGGCTCCTGTAGATGTCATTTGAAAGTCCTCTTAGAATGTGGGCCCACTGGTTCACTGCCATTAACCCTTTAAACTCTAAAAGTGACCAGCCTCTAATTTCTCCTTACAATATCACCCCTGAATCAAACATTAACTCTTTAACTCCACAAGTGATAAACATGAGACTTCTCCTAGTAATATTCTTACATTATCCAGCAAACAGGTCATGAGAATATTCAAACTTATCAGGAAGAAGATATTATTTTGATGTAACACCAAATTCTGGTGATAAATTTACATGGAAATGTGTAGGAGCGAGAGGGGAAAATTAACAATCAAGTCTTGGGAGTTAAAGGGTTAAGGTCACAGGAATCAAAGAAATGATCTGCAACTAAAAAGCTCTTGATTGTTAGACAAATTTTCCTCATCAGCATGTTAGGAATTGTTCAGAGAACAGTAGGGAGAATGTGCATACTGATGTTAGGGTGCCAAGGGTTAAAAGGTAAAATTGTAATCACCCACTAAGCAGATTTTTTCTAAGACCTTTATTTGAAGCTGTGCATGTGCCAGAAATTTACTAGTAACCCATATATTCTATTTTGTTTTGTCTTGGCAGGTATTGGTACTAAAACAAATCACTGACTGGTAAATTTGAGAGGACTTAATACTCCCATAAAAACAATAACCTGTTACAAGAGGGTAACCGTATGGCTTCAGGAAGTGAGCCTTCTTGTAAGGACCATCCTACAGAGCTTGCCAAGTTCTTGTGTCAAACCTGTAATGATGTAGTCTGTAGAAACTGTGTTGTTAGGGAAGGTCACAGAAACCATAAGTACATGTCCATTCAAAATGCAAGTGCTAAGGAAAGGGAAGCAATCCAACAAGGCCTTGAAGACGCAAAGCAGAAATTATCTGGTCTTCAAAGATCAATTCTCTTGGTGTCAGAAGTGAAGAAGCAAGTAGAGGTGAGGGCTTTGGAGTCAGGAAGGGAGGTTGATCATCTTATTGATGAAAATATAGCAGCCTTGGAACGTAAACGAGCACAGTTGAAAAGAGATATTGCTGTGTTGCGTGACGAGAAAGTCCAACAGCTTCTAAATCAAGAGAAGACAATGAATCTTGCTTTTGAGGAAATCCATAATAAGGTAGAATGCACTAAACATGCACTGTGTCAAATGTCTGACTTGGAGTTGCTAACCAGCAGGAGCAAATTGTCTGGTCTACCTGATTTCAAAGAGGTTGCTTTGCAAGGGGAGCCATGTCGCACCAGTAATTTTGGCATAGACGTGAATAAATCCTTGGTGGTTGACCTCATCGTTGACAAGATGGCTTGTGTTAGGGATGAAGATAGTCAACAGCATGATCAGTATGTTCTCAGCATGCTGGGAGGAAAGAATGGACAGATGTTTTCTTCCAGATGTCATCAGAATGCCTACTTCATTGTTTCTGTCAAGGACAGCCAAGGAAGGAACTGCAAAGTTGGAGTAAACCAGGTTAAGGTGAACATAAAACCACCAGGAGATGGTGAGTTACAGAGTGCCATCATGGGGAGCAAAGCTGAACACCATACCTTCTCTTACCACCCTAGTGTGATGGGAACCCACACTATACACGTGTATGTGGCCGGGCATTGCATCACCAATGAACCAGTCAAGTGGAAGGTGGAATCTTCATTCTACATTCTCGATTCAACATGTGCTACTCTCCCGCCAGAAGTATATGACCAGGACAAGGAGTCCTTGACAGGGTATTGGTTCAAACGAGGTTGCCATTCCTGGCAAGTGCGAATTCTTACACCTGACAAGCTCAAAAGATCTTCTGACCACCATGTCTTTGAAGTGGGTGTCACCGATGGTCATCGTACTTGGCGCTGGAGTAATGGTATGAAGTACTACCCAAATTCCTCAGCAATTGTCAGCACAATCAGCAACTGGCAGTGCGGGGATTTGTTCTTGTTTTACCTTGATTTGGATTCGAAGCAACTTGTGATCTACAATCAGCGTTCACATGAGATGGATCACTGGGGTGGAATTCATTCTCCTATACGCCCCTACATCAACCCACAGTCAACTGACTTCTTTGGATTAAACTGAATCAATAATAATACAGGAGCATGCATTCACGCATTCATGTCCCCAGACATTAACTCATCTCCCAAAAGAAACCTCATGCATTTTAGACATTAAAAAAGTTGGCAGGAACATGATAATAAGAATGATAATGAATTATGGTATTTGTTTACTGTTAGTATAAATTTTAATTAATATCAGAATTATAACTATGTGTTGAGTCATGTAGTAGCTATAAATATATATTGTATTCATGTTAGTGTGACACACTCTTACATATGCAAGAGTAGACCACTCACCCCAGATGACACAACTTTTCCATTTCTGTTTCCTGATTCCCATCCCGCACTTGGATGGGAAGCTAGTCCATAACAGTTCATGTACCCCAGTGTTTCATGTCATGAGTTGGTTCTGACAATTTGTTGGTTCTGCTTTTTAATTTCAGATGGAAAGAGTCACTGTCAGAATAAGGTGTCTGGCTCAAGAAAACAATGACTCTGATCAGGGGCCAACTTTTCAAAAGCATTCCTTACAAGTCCTTAAAAGTTGTATCTTGGTTGCCAATATGGCATTCTTGATAGTTTTAAAATTCAAACCTTGAAAATATCAGGAAAAGTTACAGAATACACTGATTTTTGTGATAAGAACCGCATTACTATTTCTTAGATTTTGTGTGGCTTTTTTCCTGTAAATTTACTGCAAGACTCAGTTGTAAACCCTTTCATCTTGTGTACAAGGTGCTAATCATTGGCCTGGCCTGTTTTTCTCAAATCATTATAATATCAGTAATGTAATAAATTTCTGTCAGCAACATCAATGGCATGTAGTGTCAAATAAGCCTTGAATGATTCTTATTTATCTTTAGTTAGTGCAGTAATGAATAGAGTGCCTACATGTCAAACATGAAGCAGTACACCATTTTAAGATCTATTTTGTGTTCACCAGTTAGCAAGAAACTTCCATTAGGCTGCCTTTTTGAGATATTTACATAGTTAGGAGTTAATTTTTTAAGCTCAATATTTTTTAAGTCCTCTTAACTTAATGTTTAAATCTCACTTAGGGAAATCTTGTGTGGAAACCACACTTAATGGCTATTAAAGGACTGTAAGTATTCATTTCTATATTATATCCAAGTTTCATGAGTGAATTCATGTAAAAAAGAAAGCTGTAAGAGTCTGCAGGTATCTTAAAGAGTGTCCATTTGATGCAAAAAGTAAGGCAAGTGTGAAAGGGTGATGGTAAGGTGTTACAGAATATAGCCATTAAAAAGAGATGGATCTATGAGATCCGATAAAGTAGCAAGGTTTTGTTGAGTTTGCTGTTTAAACTGGGAGCCTGATTACCCGGTACCAAGTTTGCCGAGCAGAAGATGAATGGTGTGTGCTAAGGGGCAAACTAAGGGGGGGTCCTGGTGCCCATACCCCCCCTCCCCACCCATTATTTTGAATCAAGAATACGCAAACCTTATAATTCAGGCCCCAGTTGTTTAATGGATGGATAACATTATCAACTGGGTCATATTTTTAAGGGCAATTCAGTACAACTGCTTTGCATTCCTAATAGCAATGCAAATCTACAATGCTTTCATTCCACATAACAGAGCTTTGATAATAGATTTGGCTCTGATCCTTAAATTACACTCTTTATTGTGACAAAAGGGTGTACGATACAAAAAAAATTTCATATAATTGACAACAGATTTGTTTTAAAAGACAAGTTGTTATCCTCACTCAAAGAGAATCTTGATCCAGTGGGTAACCCACTACAATTTGTCAAAAATTATCTGCTAGATAGTGTTTTATCTGCTGGATATTGATTTATTGGTTGGATATGACCAGTCCTTTGCACCACGTGAATACAAACCCCCTGATAAACAAGCTAAAGCAGTAGTAACAGCCTCATTCGGAAAAATCCCAGCTATGATCTTAGTACTAATGTTCTCCAAAGATATTCTAACAGTTTAGGTTAGGATGTTTGAAATATAGAAGCAGCAAATTAGTTCAGATACACATGATGGATGAAGTCACCTAATGGAGGTCGCTCTTCTCTGTAGAGGGCCAGACATGACAGATGTCAGATGCATTTTGTAAGTATATGTGAGTCAAAGCAAATTACTGATCGGGAGCCATGATAGAATACCTACAGCCCTCTCTTGGCCAAAAGGACAACCCCTTTGGTACCTCGACACAGATTCCGCAGGCTTTCCTCGCCATATTGTATAAACGAAACGGCACAAAGTGAATTTGTTACCGAGGGTGTAGCTAGACCTTTTTTAAGTGAGAGTAAGGAGGGCGCGAATGTCATAGGAGTCTGAGATACGCCCCTCTCTCAATTCAAACATACACAACCAAAGCAAGGGACTAGTTTAGTTTAAAATAGGACTTGCACTTCACCGTTTACGACACAATGTGCGCTTCCCCCTGCAAAACAACTAACAAGCTCACGTTGAGCTGTACTTTACGTTGATTTTCTTAAAATCTAACAACTAGGATAAGGAACTCCAGTTTGATGTCTTCTTTATTATGCATAATTTTTTTTCAAGTCTACCCAACGCTGTTATGCTTCTATGAGGCTGCATTCTTGGCTCCCTAAAATTTTTATATGTAGCTTCTACTGAATGAGGAAAACCCGATCACCCTCAGTGAACGTAGTCTGTCCACTCTTGGTGCAACTAATTAACAATAAAAAACTAGAAATAAGCAACAAATCCAAACTATAATAGACTCCAACGACTTCCTTCCAAATGAAACTTAAGTTATGCTTAAAAATTATCATCTTGTCTAAAACTACCTTTAAAAAGGACACCTACTGTTAAAAATTAAATGTTGTCTTCTATACAACGTTTAAAACAATTACTTCCTAACTCGTCATAAAGAACTCCTTCCATCGATGGTATTTAGTTGCTAAGCAACCTTTTTTCCGTATCCTTCGAATAAAACAGTCGGATGCTCAGGTCTTGTGCTCCACTAAGACAGTTTTTTCCTATTAAAAAAAAAGCCAAAGCGCAAAAAAATGCAAGGCTAATAAATTTGATTATCCTTAAGCGCGGAAAAATCTTGCACCTAATTGGTTGCAATTTAACAGATCAAAAGCAAGCGCTTTTTTTTATCTAAAGCTGATTACAAAGCGACATCATTGGCTAACTGGATGAAAACAAGAAGGGAAATTTTGACTTCCAAATTACTTAAATAATTATAATTGCTTAATTGCTAAATTAATATCACATAGTACTCATTCTCTTGACGCCAGGTTTGCAAAATGGTGTTATTTCGTCCTCATCTTCCTCTTTGTCTTCGTAAACACTGATTCGCATTTTCTGTGAGGCAAGCTCTCTTTCTTCCTCCTCATTATCATTTGGTGAATTGAAGTCGTTCAACGCAAATATATCCTTTGTATTTTTAAAGCCCTCACGCTCTCTTCTTTTTTGGCTGATTTTCTGGTAATTTAAGAAGAATGGAAGAAATTTGCATTCAATAACATGTTCTTCTCCATAATGTTATCACTACATAGCCAAAGTACTCCTCTCTAAAATAAAGACCATTCTCTGTCTGTTCTATATTGATGTTTATAGACTTCATAGATCCGATTATGAAAAAATTCTATACTTGCAACGCTCACGTAAGATTTAGGAAGAAAGCGACGAAGCTGCATCATATACATAGTTGGATCGTTTCCGTCTGAGGTAACTTGTCCGTCCTTAATCAAAATTTGTTGGCGTTGAGATGCACCAACTAAAAATTACATCTCTCTCCCCCTCTCTCTCCCCCCCTCTCTCTCTCTCTCTCTCTCTCTCTCTCTCTCTCGCTCTCTCTCTCTCGCTCTATAGAAAAAAACTAATTTTCAAACAAGACTTGATTTATATAAGAAATATTAACCAAAGTTAAGTTGTGGATATTTACCGAGCCGTGAAGCAGCCGGATAGAAATCCATCGCTAGCCACGGACACTGAGGTGAATATTTGTTTTAGTATAAACTAAAACAGTGAGATTATATCACACGAAGATGATTATAACTTACATATTCCTGCAACAAGTACAATATTTTCGGGCGCAAATCCTGCGCTTCGCTCGGAGGTGAATAGCAAAGGATATTCGGAATTTGAGTATAGCCAGTCAGAGCGCGCCTTCAACGCATTCACTACTTCAGTATATTCTAATTCGTTATAACTCTCTTGCCTCATCTCCCACCCTGCGAATCTAACGGTCAACGAAACATTTGCAAATACTAACCTTGTATAGTACGAAGCCAATGACCATAACTACCAAACCCCCAAACGCTGCGGCAGCGAACACTTTTAAAGGAAACTCATCCTTTCGTGGTTGTGTCCCTTTAACAGCCGCGACGCCATCTTCTTCTTCTTCCTCTGTCTCCATCTCAAACTTTCCGATTTTTCCTCTCTTTTCTGACAAGATTTTATTAAACTCATCCGACGTTGCTGAAGATTCCAATTTCGTGTGAATAAGGTAATTACATACGATGCTTCCTTTCGTAAAGTTAACAACTTTTACGAAAAGAAAACCAGATACTTCTTTAAAAATATTGTCCAACGCGTCTTCTAAATCACTTGCTAATTTCGCAAACTCTTCCGAAGAAGGATCGGTTAATCCCTCAGTAAATACCATGTTTATGATTGTAAGCTTTGCTCTCCACACTTTACTGGGTGTTGGACTGATAGGTTTTTCTGTACCACTGGTACGAATCACCGTCGTGGTCGATTCAACGTACATCGATGTAGTTGACGATAATGAAGGAGATGATACAAACTTCTTTGACGGTGCTGCCGAGGATGATGGGGATGGTGTTGATGAGGGAAGACGTTGTAGGAATGAGAAGGGCAACGATGATGACCGAACAGATATCGATATCATCGATGATGGAGATGGCGACATTGATGATGATGATGATGAGGAGGAGGAGGAGGAAGATGACGACGACAGGGGAACAGACAGCGACGAGGACATTGACAACGATGATGATGACCAAGCAGAAATCGATATCACCGATGATGGAGATGGTGACATTGACGATGATAATGATGATGATGAGGAGGAGGAGGAGGAAGATGGCGACGACGGGGGAATAGACAGCGACGAGGAAATTGACAACGATGATGATGACGAGGAAGACGACCAAGCAGAAATCGATATCATCGATGATGGAGATGGTGATATCGATGACGATGATGATGAGGAGGAGGAGGAGGAGGAGGAGGAAGATGGCGACGACGGGGGAATAGACAGCGACGAGGAAATTGACAACGATGATGATGACGAGGAAGATGACCAAGCAGAAATCGATACCATCGATGATGGAGATGGTAACATCGATGATGATGATGATGATGAGGAGGAGGAGGAGGAGGAGGAAGATGGCGACGACGGGGCAATAGCCAGCGACGAGGACATTGACAACGATGATGATGACGAGGAAGATGACCAAGCAGAAATCGATATCATCGATGATGGAGATGGTAACATCGATGATGATGATGATGAGGAGGAGGAGGAGGAGGAAGATGGCGACGACGGGGGAATAGCCAGCGACGAGGACATTGACAACGATGATGATGACGAGGAAGATGACCAAGCAGAAATCGATATCACCGATGATGGAGATGGTGACATTGATGATGATGATGAGGAGGAGGAGGAGAAGGAGGAAGACGGCGACGAGGGGGGAATAGACAGCGACGAGGACATTGACAACGATGATGATGACGAGGAAGATGACCAAGCGGAAATCGATATCATCGATGATGGAGATGGTGACATTGATGATGATGATGAGGAGGAGGAGGAAGATGGCGACGACGGGGGAATAGACGGCGACGAGGACATTGACAACAATGATGATGACGAGGAGGAGAAATGCGAAGACGAAGATGAAAATGGCGATGAAGATGTCTCTATCTCAAACTTTCCGATTTTTCCTCTCTTTTCTGACAAGATTTTATTAAACTCATCCGATGTTGCTGTAGATTCCAAGTTCGTGTGAATAAGGTAATTACATACGATGCTTCCTTTCGTAAAGTTAACAACTTTCACGAAAAGAAAACCAGATACTTCTTTAAAAATATTGTCCAATACGTCTTCTAAATCATTTGCTAATTTCGCAAACTCTTCCGAAGAAGGATCGGTTAATCCCTCAGTAAATTCCATGTTTATGATTGTAAGCTTTGCTCTCCACATTTTACTGGGTGTTGGACTGGTGGGTTTTTCTGTACCACTGGTACGAATCACCATCGTGGTCGATTCAAAGTACATTGATGTAGTTGATGATAATGAAGAAGATGATACAAACAAGAAGGAAGATGATGAAGAGGAAGATAAGGAAGGTGAAGGGGGCGAAGACACGGACGATGATGATAATAAGGGGCCGAAGGAGGAGGAGGAGGATGGCGGCGAAGAACTGGGCAAGGATGATGATGCAAACGAGTTAAAGGAAGCTAAGGATGATGATGACGAAGAGGCTAAGGTGAAGGTAGAGTTGAAAGATAGGGATGGCGACAAGGACAAAGATGAAAACAAGAACGGTAAAACTGATGATGACGATGATGATGTTGATGATGAGTTGGAAAATAAGAGTGACGAAGAGGCTGGTGTCGGTAAAAAAACTGTTGGTGAGGAGAAGGAAGAGGTTGCTAACAATGATGAGAGTAAGGGAGATGGAGAAGATGATAATGTCGATGTTGACGAAGAAACCAATGGAGAGAAGGAGGATGATACCTTGGGGGAGGTTGACGAATAGGAAGACGAAGGTGATGGTGAGAGGGACGAAGATGAGCTTAATGACGAGGAGATATCAGAGGAGACGGGAGAGGAAAAGAAAGGGAAGGATGGCCGCGAGAATGAAGATGAGAAAAAGGGGGGAGAGTAGAAGGACGAGGGGAATATGTTTGATGACGAGGGGAATATGTTTGATGACGAGGAAGATGGAGATGATGAGAGGGACGTGAATAAAAACGATGCTGATGGAAAGGATGAGATTGGAGTGGTGAATGGGAAGGAGCGTAAAGGAGAGGGTGAGGATGGGGACAGCAGCAGGGGGGTTGAAGAGGAAGACGAAGAAGAGGAGGAGGTAAAGGTGAAGGAGGAGGGGTAGGTTTTATCTTCGGTGGATGTAGCCTCACCATTCTGCCAGACACTTTTTAAGGCTAAAGATTCGACTTGAATTTTCTGTGTTGACTTGCTAGTCACAAATGGTGCATAGCTTTTTTTCGGTCCTGCATTCAAGCTCGATTTTGGAGTGAAGCCATCGTTGTAAAAATTTGTCGTATTCGCTGACTTCGACCCAACAACTGACGAGACAAACAAGAGGTCTTCAGTGTGGTCGGTTGTGAGGGATGGTGTGCTTGAGCGAATTAATTGGGTTGTGGATGGCAGTCGACTCGATATTCCAAGCTGTCCACTTTTGGGTTCAGTGGAGCCGGTAGAATGAGAATGAGAAACCAACGAACCATCTCCGCCAAAGGCAGTGACTCCTATAAACAAGGACAACGTAAATTGGTAGATCGGTTTTCATAATGAAATCAAACAAAATCGTTACATAATCTGCAAAAATGACAATCTTTTTCTTTCTCTCTAATCATGAATAAGTTTGGTCGTCCTAGATTTAGAGGGAACGTTCCGGGTTCTTTTACAAGTGGTCTTATTATAATTACCGTGAAGAACATATGAATGAGCTATTGTCAAGTGGCCATTAATTTGCATCATAAGCTCCACGGACAAGTCACGATTGTTTTAAGTCCCATACTATAAGTAAATAGACATTTTTAACTTAAGTAGTCGGTAATTGCGTAATATTGTTTCTGTCTCACCGAAGACTCGAGAAAACAAAGCCCCTTTGGCTTTTTGTCTATGATTGAATAAAAAATAGATTAACTGACACGCAAGTTAAAATTTTTCTCGTCTGTTTTTTACTTACGAAACCCGTGGTTTCTATGCGTTTCTATTCCTGAATTTTCGTTATCATGTTAGACTCTGCTATGTATGTATCTAAGACAGATAGTTTGTGTGAAATTTTAATCGGTTTTTTCTTTAAAAAGTATATTTATCAGACACTTAGCGTCCTAGACAAAAAAATTAAGTATTGTTTTTATCGCAAGTATAGAGCAAGGATTTCATCGCTTGTGACGTGCAGCTCACTTGTGCGAGGATTCAACATGGCGATCTCAGCTGAGCGACTTAAAGAACAAGGCCGGAAACTAACTTGGTGAGAATATTTTCACAGCTAACCTCTGAATTTAGTAGTCTCGCATTAGACCACGACAAAGAATTATAGTCATCAGGTAGACCTAATTTTAGTTCAGTCAAGGTAAAAAAAATCATCTTACCAAATTTATCATTTCGATTTGATTCGAACCTTTCTCTTGACACAATGGGTCTAGTCGTGAGCTCGACCCGCCCGACCTTAATTATTTTTCTTATTATTTACAGAAAATTCTATCATCGACGTGAGACATTTTTGTCTAGCCGACTATCTTGACTCATAAAGCTACTTAGCTGGTAATTTATAACTGCTGGCTGAATTCCTTTTGCATCTCTTAAACGACTGAAAAAAGATCCTAATGTATTTAACACAGTACTTCTACTGAGCGAGACAGTTTTCAGCAATCTTACCTCTAAAAAGGATTAACAAGGGAATTGCCACATTCCACAGCAGCCAAACGAATTTTTCCATTATTAAAGGAAGATCAGATCCGTTGTCTTTAACAGTCTAATCTCGCGATCAGTGAGACTCGTAAGTTATTTCAACGGGGCCTGGAAGACAAAATTCAATCAAGACACTTCCAAGTTTTCTCACGAGATTGTAACATAAAGCCGCATTGTTTGTCTTCTAACGCAGCAGGGATCAATTCAATCTGTTGACGAACTAAGATCATTAAGTTGATCCGTTGGCAAAACAAATCATACTGAATAAATCCGTTTATCTATGTGAAATCCGATCGATATTTTCTCTGTAAGTTTTACCGTAATCTGAACTTCCTTATTTAAATTAACATGCGGAAAGATAACTTCGAGGTCATGTCTGGACGGGTGCCAAGGAAACATGTGTGAAGGAGAGAAACTATCATAGCTTAGAAGTGCGTTTCAACGCGATAAAATTAAATTAATTTTACATCATGGACTTCAACATGATTAATTATCTTTAAATTACCTTGAGCTTGGCAAATGGCTTGGCTTTTCTCAGAGGAGTCAGTTATTACTAAGAAAAAAGAGTATCTACTCCAACTGCGTGTGGTGTTTCTGCGCAAAAGAGAACTTTAAGTCGCACTGACTCTGATAAGTACTGCCCCTGGGTAGTAATTGTCACTTCTGGGCGACATCGTGGAGCCTGGACAATGATCCGTGTTTATGATTGCAGTTAGACCGTAACAAGTGCTTGAAAAAATGCAATGACCCGAAGTTAGGTGCCAAGAGGGCACCGCGTCAGTATTGGCAGTAGTACAACAATTTGGTTTTTTTGTACGATGTTCCATCTTTACTATTCAAAGCTGTCACTCATCAACTAATCAACGGTTAAATTATGAGATAAATTCTATCGCGTGATACCTGAAGAGGGCGATGCCCAAATTAATATCACGCAAAGAAATTGAGAAAGAATAAACTAATTGTTCCAATAGAAATGCACCAAAAAATAAAAACAGGCTCACGTTTTGATTTTATTGCGTATACAACCATGATCTTTAACAGAATATATAGCGTAGCCAATCAGATTGTAGCATCTGTAAGTGAAAGCTCGTAGATTTATGCTAAATTGGTGTAAGAATATTAAGAACACCTCTGTTAATTGACGGACTCATGACTGAGTGACGTAAAAAATGTATTACTGTGACAACGGGTAATGCAATTCGACAAAGTTCAGAGCCACCTCGTTTAAAATTTTCCGTTTTTACTTGTGGCTCCGTAGGCTTGGTTTGCCTTGCATATACAAGCACTGGTCTTGTATCTATCTCATTCCTCGATTCTAGTGCCTTCTCCCGCCCTAATCCAAGCCATATGACTGAATGACCGAAACCAAACTCGTTAGGTAGCATAATTCAGATTCATTCTAGCTTAATTGCTGTAAGACCATTTTTGTTACTGGGATACCTGTCGTAGCCCAGTCATAAAATGCCTTTTTTTTGTCGTCTTTTTTTTTCCTCCGTTCACATGCTGATCACGCGTGTTATCTTGATGATGATTGACGTTGTCATGCACGGACAGGGCCGGGTCACATGACGAACCACGAGATGTTTGCTTGTAAAACTCTTTCGTCTGTCGTTTTGTATTTCAACGTGTATGGATTACAACCACCTAGAGCATTATGGCGCAAACGCTCAAAATACTTACAGACGCATACACAAGTCGTATTGTTCGCGGTCAATCCACACTAAAAGATGTTATTGAGCGGTAATTTTGGAACGGATTGAGTCATGAACGCTTGAAAGCTATGAAAGCCTTGAATGCCTTGTATGATTTGTATGCCAAGTATGCCAACGTCTTAGTTGAAAAACGTACACTTGTTGTAAAAAGCAAATTCTGAAATCTGAAACCAAACTGCATATACTCTATGCAATCTACTGAACAACACTACTACCGTGAGACTGAAGAACAAAACTCTAATGGATGCAAACTGCTTGTGAAACAAGCGACTAAATACAGGAATGGATCCGACCTGTGATTGGATGATAAAAATAGTAAAAGTTAATAACTTATATCTTAACTCCTTACACGTGAGTATGGTTAACCGCGTGTCTCGAAGCGGAACAATGAAATATCAATGTGAAAACACCGATGAGTCAAACAAGAAATGGCTACTTAATGGCATACATAATGAAGAGAAGGCAGAGTCTAGCTTGTTCAGCGAGGTCGTTCAGCGATATTCCGGCGATGGAAAAGTCATCTGCTGACTAGCTCCGCTGACTAAATTCATTTAGTCAGTTCACGCGCACGACCAGAGACTGGAGCCATTCCTGTATTTCACCGCAGACAGGAATAGCTCCAACTCAATTTTAATAATTTTTTTTCAATAATTTTAAAATAATTTTTTAAACAGTTTTTGAAAAAAAATATTTAAAACTAAACTAGTGAGCAGCGCTGTGCGAGCAGTAGTTTTAAAACAGATGAAGAGCCCGAAGAATGGATTTGTCCTTCATGTGAACAATAACCTAGAAAATCAGTTTTCCACGAAAAAAAAACCCCCTCGATTGTGGCTAAGCCATATTTCTCCAGCAGAGCATACTGTAAATTAAAAACATCGGTCGCAGCGTCACGCAACATTGCGTGATTTTCCAAACGTGAGATGCAGTTGCTGCATTATTTTAAAACTTAGGAAGCCCTGTAGTAAGAAAAGAGGGCTTCATTTGCAAGCACTGTAGACTTCAACTTAAGAAGAACCTAATAAATCGCTCTTTCAGTTTTTATCTCAGTGTATGAATTATTTAGCCAGAACGAAAAAAAAATTAATATACGCATGAGTTGGAGCCATTCCTGTCTGCGGTGAAATACACGAATGGCTCCAGTCTCTGGTTGTCCGCCTAAACTGACTAAATAAGTTTATATATATATTTTATAAAATAATTCAAATAGTACGCGCGCTCTGATTGGCCATAAAACCATTCTATATGAGCGTATGTAAACACGGTTTTCGTTCCTCTTTCATTAGTTATTTTACACGCTTATCTCGTGTTCTTCCAACCTCCCGCGTGTTTACATCAGGCTATGTAAACACGGAAACCATTTTACATTTCTTCAATATTTCACGATCAGAAAGGTTAATCTTATGTTTGTTTTCATTGTAGTTGTATGGATATTCCTTTTTAATAAATACATGATCCAAAATCCTGTGTTTTTTGTGTATAATGTTATTATGTTAAGTATTGTTTACGCAATTGTCTTGTCACAGGTGGCCCATGCTAACGCGTCGAGAAAAAGCCAACGATTAATTCATGAACGCGTCACGCGCTGTGTGACTCAGTGTTAAGTTACGAGAGGGACAGTTGAAAATTTGAACACGTTATAAAGAATAGTAAAGGAGACGAAATATAGTCGATTTACAACGATAAATATTTCGAAATATGAAAATTTTTCTCGTAAAATCAATAAAAATTGCTCATACCCTGTGTATCCGTTGTAGTTTCTGGCGATTTCTGCCGTTTTAAGCTTGCTTTACCATCACTGTTATTCACGTAATCTACTTTTATTACGTTGGTAAAATCTGTACAGACATCACACCAACCAACTCGCGTGCAAAGTAAGAAGACTATATTGAAGGCTTGAAATTATATTACGATCGATTTTCATCAAGTAATGGGCCAGGAATTTTCCACAATAGTGCAAATAATCGTGAAGGCTGATCGCAGAAAAGCGATTGCGTGACGCTCGGTAAGCTGCAAGATAACATGTTATTATATACCAGACGTAAAAACTCTTTAGATTCTCAGTCTGCATTTTGTACCAACTCTGCATTCTGCAGTCTATATTTCGTATCCGGTCTGCTGTCTGCATTTTGTACTAACAGGTATCCGTGGCACCAATACAGTTAATTTTTGGTTACATTTATTCGCACAACACACACAATCTACCACAAAATACCTGTGTGTAAGGTAATTCGACATTTTCGTTCTTTTCCGCGTTAATACTCTTCTTTCCTTTTGTAATAATGTAGACCATTTACAATATTTCAAGTAATCCACCCAGCCTACAAAAAATAACTTGGCTAGACTTGAGCTCACTATTTGAGTATACTAGTTCGAAACCCGTAGTATCACTACACTTGATTCCAAGGATCCAGTACCACCCAGGTATCCCAGTTACCCTGCTCACAGGGTCTAGTTCGCTTGTAGAGAGCTTCACAAGGTTTTAGCTTTATGAGTCGGAGGTAGGTTACGAAAATTGTGATTTGATTGTGCTCTCAGTCGTCTTTGCTCTGTCAGCTGATGATGCCTATATATGAGCCCGTAATACATGAGGTATTCTGAAAATAGGCGTACACATAAGGTTGAAGTAAGTAACCGCTAGTCCAAATGCGAGCCTTCAGCTCGTGTATCCTTGATGTTTCCACGACCCTTTGTCGTTTTATAAAATTTTCAAAAACGTTTCGATTCATCGCAGGTTTGAGTACGTTACTCTTAATTCTAGTTAGCTAAGGATATTATCTAAAGGTATGCCGCGGAGTAGAAGTCGTAGCCGCTCTCCCCGTGGCAGAGGTAAGTCTCGAAAACATCAAGTATTTTTTTTGTTTCTCAACTGAGAAGAGGAATTATTTGTAATCGTAATTGAAAGAAATAAAGCTCTCTTCAGCGTTATGCTTTCATATCCTACTTTGACAGTTTTTACAGAACGTAGACGTAGTCGATCACGTTCAAAAGAACGAAGAAAAGATGGTAAGTACCCAAATTGGATAGTTCTGATTAAGATCTGCTCTTTGGACACTCGAGCTAAGTTATTTTCTCAGAAAGTTAGAAATGTGATCGTCATTTTGAAAATTAAAAAAGGAAATGGGTCCTTAAATAAGGGTTAAAAAAAATGTAAAACGTGTTCACCCTTAAACCCCTAAGAGTTAGACCAGAATCTAATTTCTCCTTACAATTATACTGCTGAATTAGTCATTAAGATCACAAGGATAAAGGAAAATGATCACCAATCTAAGAAGCATCATTGTTAAAAGAATTCTCCTCGTCAGTACCAAAGGAAATGTATTGAGAAGAGTATGGAGAATATGGATGTTGATGTTTGAGTGTAAAAGGTTAAAGTATAAGAATGATTTTGGACACAAGAAATCTTGGTTAATCTTCCTTATGTGAAGTATTTCTAGAAATGAGGAGTTAAACTTGTTTTTGATGTTTTTTTTTTAATCAAGAAATTTAAAACAAGAAACAAGGGCCCTTAACATCAGAATTGAAATAAGACATTTGTTCCTTGAATGGCTAAATCTAATGTTAAAGTGAGATTTTAAAATTTCATCTTGTGGATCAACACTATTTAAATTCACCTTGCTTACATATGGCCATTTCATTAGTAGATCGCAGACGAAGCAGATCCAGGTCACCAAAGCGACGAAGACATCGCTCTTTTTCAAGGTGCAGTGACAGATGCATAATTTTAGTTTGTCAGCATGACAGTTTTGTGATTAAGTGGAGATGATTTTGTCTTGAAAAAGCCTTGGATATTTGTGGTTCAGATTTTCATTTCCTGTGTTGCATTAAACTGTTATCATATACCACCATGAAAAATATCTTAATCAAAGATAAACATTAAACATAATGTGTGTTGTTAATTAAATGCAATATTAGGAGTAGGCAGCCAAACCTTCTGTGAGTAAATACCCTTGCTGTCACTCACCACTGGTCATTTTCTATGAGAAGTTGAACTGTACATTATAGGCTCTTAATTTTAGGTCATAGATTGTTTTCACTTTGGAGT